GGGGCAGTGTGGGGAGGGTGCTGGACCCAGGTGCTCGCCAGCCCCCCCCCCCCCCGCGCGCCTTGCCCCGAGGGAGAGAGGGGCAGCCCGGGGGGGCAGTTGCTGGGTCGGTACTCCCGTGTAGTGCTGCGGCCCTGAGGGAAGCCGTAGCTGTGGGGACAGCGAGCAGCAGGAGTGGGCCAAGGGGAGCTACGCAGTGGGGCTGCGCCAGCATCGCCATGTTGCTGCCATGAAAGATGCAGCGGGGAAGGGCGAGCGGTAGCGAGCAACCTCTGCCCCCCCCTCTCCTCCCGCTCCCAGGGCGGCCGAGCGCCCTCTCTCCTCCTCCGCCCCCTCCCCCACCCCGGGTGCGCTGAGCCGGGCCGTTCTCAGCGGGGCGGCCGGCAGCACTGAGCCCAGCCAAATGGAGCCTTTCCCTCAAGGCTGCTGCCAAGGCGCCCAGCCTCCTCCCCCCTCGCCGCTTCTCCCCCCGGCCGCTGGCCCCCCTATTGCCGGGCGGCACGCGCCCAGCCCAACCGCCACGCATGCTTCCCCTCCCCCCGGCCCAGCCGGACCCGAACGGGCCCAGCAGCGCAGCCCGTCCCCGTTCTCTACCTGGCTGCCTGGCATGCTCCTCCGGACACGCCTGCCGTCCCCCCACCCATGGCTCCTCCGGCCATGCTGCCCTTCAGAGAGGAGCGGGCCCCGCCCGCTGGCGCCATATAAGGTAACCCCTAAGGCGCCGCTTTTGAAAAATGTGCTGAGAACAGTCTAGATCCATCTTCTTTGGAACTCCCTTTCACGTAGTTGAAAGCAGCTATCAAGTCCCCCCTCATTCTTCTCTTCTGCAGACTAAATAATCCCAGTTCCCTCAGATTTGGAAGAGTAATGTTACAGATGATAAAGAGCTATCACTTATTGAAGTCACTATTCTCATCCATGCTGGCTAAACTACAGTTACCATATTTGAACTTTCAAAAAAGAGGACATTCTGGGGGGGTAGCCCCGCCCCCTGGCAGTGTTTGAGTTTCAAAGGACTATTTTAAACAATGTACCAAATAAGACTGCACTTTTGGGATGAACGAAGTTAGGTGGGTTTCCTAGGAAATATCTGTGGGAGAGGAGAATGCAAATTCCCACGTCTGGACTCACCCTTTTGAAGCTACACCCGGAGAAGAGAACCATTGTCTGGCCGGTTATGTGTTCATGGTCTCTGCAGATCAAAGACATAGGCTGTATGAAGGAGTGACTCTCAGATTCATGGGTGTACTTGTTCAGAGCAGAAGCTGTTATGAACTGGTGACCACAGGAAAAAACTGTCGGATAGGTTTGTAGGACTGAGCATCTGCCAGAGCCCTTGTTGGAGTTGGGGGTGATCTCTGGTAAGCTGTCAGCATGCATGTAGGTTTTTATTGTTTTTAATAGTTTCTCTGTAATGCTTTCACCTTAAAGATAAAGGTGCATGTCTAGAAAGGGCTATGTGGTAACGTGTACTTGTGGGCAGTTATGCTGTGTATAGCCTCTGAGGAGAATGCCGAGTAGGCCTGCTTAGGCAGTCTGACTTGCTGGAGAACTCTGTGTAGCCAGGAAACAATGTAGCCTGGAAAAACCCCAGTCAGGAGGGACAGAGACACAGGTCTCCACCCAAGAGAGGTGACTGCTACGGAGCTTGGAGTGGGTGCCCTTGCTGGACACCGGAGGGGGTATACTGGAGCAGTTGCCCTGAACTGTGACATACGTTAGTTGTTTTAAGTATGTTCAGCATTCCTTCCCCATCCTCTGCACTTTTTTTGCTTTTGAATCATGGCAAGTAGTTGAGATGCTGCCATCTTCCTACAAAACACAGTACATCTTAGCCTGGAAGCGAGCACAGCTTTGCAAGATACTTTGTCATGTAACTACTTTCTTGACCATGTCCCATAAGGTTTTCCTTTGCCTTAAGGCTGGAACAGTCCTGTGTCATATAGATCAGACTTCTCTTTTGTTCAGTCTCTTGAACCTTTTAACATCTGCTCATTGTCCTTGACATTAGAAAACACCATTTATGTGTTCTTCTTCCCGTTCTTCTGTCTACCTCAAATGGATCCGTTAGTGCACCAGATATTAGTATGTGTGTGGTGGGGAGGGGAGGCCCTGATGTTTAGCTTCAGTGCAGTTGGTAATCTTTTTCCGCACAAGGAGAGCTGCATTGGTTTGTTTCTTCCTGATGCGATTTCTAGAGTTTTTATTATGTTTATTATTTCTTTCTCTAGTTTCTAGTCTCCTTTCCCCCTAAAATTTCTCACTTCTGCTATCATCAATGCAGCTCCAGGGGAGCTGAGTCCAAAATGGTAGATGCTTGTGCGACCTGTGTGACTCCCATAGGATGGGATGGTAGTTTAATGTATTTATTTTATTGCACTGATTTTTACTAAGTGCTGCATCAGTTGCACAACACCTTCCATTTCATTCGCTTACTTTGATTTTAAACAATGCAGCTTATAGACTGCTTCCATATCTGCTGTTGTATAATGTCTTTCTCACTTCTCTATCTGAAAGTGTCTCTGTTTAGCTCCAACCTATGAGCTGGCTGTGCAGACTGGACAAGTGGTTGAAAAGATGGGAAAACTTTGTGTCAACATCGGAGTTGCGTATGCTGTCCGAGGGAATAGAAGTATGTTTGATTCACTTTTCTCAGTAGATTTAAAAATAATCAATGTTAGTGTTAGTATTATGTAACATTTATATTCTAGAGGCCCCAGTCAAGACAGAGGACCCCATTTTTACTCCTGAGGGAATTCTGTGCCAAAAAAATAAAAATTCTGCACACAATATTTTAAAATTCTGCAAATGTAATTTGTCAATAAATAAATGTGGAGGTTCCAGCGTAGCAGTGGGCAGCACAGGCCACTGACTGCATGTAGATGGGAGATCACCCTGCAGAAACTCCTCTCCCCCGCCTTCCCCCACAAGATAAAGGCTAATGTAACTTCTCCATCTCTCAGTTCCAAGAGGTACCAAGATTGAAGAACAGATAATAATTGGAACGCCAGGGAGTGTCCTAGATTGGTGTTTCAAATTGAAGCTGCTGGATGTGCAGAAGATCTCTGTGTTTGTGCTGGATGAAGCGGATGTTATGATTGACACACAGGGCTTCTTAGACCAGAGTGTCCGCATTCAGAGGTAATACTTTAGTTAGCCATCTGAATGCTGAAGGCAGAGTAAATAGTGGTTTAGTTTTCAAAATTCTCAGTTTTAACTTGCAAATCAATTTATATCTCTGAATAATAGTTTTAGCTAAACCACTGCTGAAAAAACACTACATAATACTGTCCTAGTCAGATGTACTTGAAGGGGAAGCTAGAAAGAAACCTCCTTAAAGTGTGACTAAAAAAGTGGGTTGAGTCTACCTTCCTTATTTATACGCGCTTCCCATGGATGTGGTTTCAGATTTGGTACTTTCAGAGCATTTGGTCAAAAGGAAATTGGAAAAAAAATTGGCTTCTCAAGCACCCTTGTTTAAAGTTGTGTTTAAAATCAGCCTGGAACCCTCCAAATTCCCTTACAGTTGAGATGAAGAATTCCTTTGAATGTTAAAGGAAAGAGTGCTGGAAATTTCCCATTTCATGAACCTTTGACTTGGAAGCCTACATGAGCACTACTGTTTTATCTGCTGATCTTATAAACTCGATCTAAAATTAACATGGCTTTATGTGCATTATCAGTCTGCCCCCCCATCTCCCTCACGCTTGAGAGCGTGAGCTACAACCCATGCCACAGTGTCAAAGCAACGTCCACACCGTTACTTTTAGTGTGCTAACATGAGCCCTGCTAACACAAGTCAGTGGACCCAGGCTGGGAGGCTTGCTGCCAGATGCAGTGTAGACATACCCGAAGAGCTTGTTTAACATTACAGCAGGGCTGTTATGATCTGTTCTGTTGATGGATCTCAACTACTTCCATGTAACTTGATTGCATGGAGATACCGCACTGGGATAAACCACTTGTCACCTTAGACGATTCTTGTAACGGATGGAAAAAATTCGTAATCATAAGGAAAGGAGTGTTGGCACAGGAATGTGAAGGTATTGTGGCTTGAGGCTGTTATCCGATAAAAACACCACACAATTTACTAGCCTTTCTCTTCTAGAACATTACCACAGCGTTGTCAGATGCTCCTCTTCTCAGCAACCTTCGAGGATGCCGTGTTGCGGTTTGCTGAGCAGATCATCCCTGACCCCAACATAATTAAACTCCGCCGAGAGGAGATGACCTTGACCAATATCAGGCAGTACTACTTTTTGTGTGAGAATAAACAAGATAAATACAAGGCCCTGTGCAATATCTATGGGAGCATCACCGTTGGCCAGGCTATCATCTTCTGTCAGGTAAAGCTCTCCTGTCGCTGTTACTCATGCAGTAAAAGAGCCAGATTACTGTTTTCATAGAAATTACAGTAAAAAATGACCCATCTTTCAATGCTGATATCAACGGAGTAAGGAGTTTTCTTATGGACAGTGCAAGAGGGCTTTTATCAGTGGGGTGTAATTTGAGGAATACTGCTCAACGATTGTTCCTCTACACTACACACACCCTTCCTCCAGACTCCTACAACTCTGCCCACCATGACTCCTCTTACCTTTAAGAGATGTCTACACCAAGCTGGGAATTACTCCTCCAGCTGGAGGTAGACAGAATGCACTGTCTTTGATGGAGCTAGCACACTAAAAGTAGCACCGTGGCCGCAGCAGCTGCCCAGGTACAATCCCATCTGAGATCTTGGGTACATGCTCAGGTAGCTATCCCATGCTGCCATCTGTGCTGCTGTGGCCACACGGCTATTTTTAGCACACCAGCTGAATCAAAGCTTGCACAGATCTGTCCACCCGAGCAGAGATTTATATCGCCCAGCTGCACTGTAGATGTACCTGATGCTTTTCTGGGTTCTGTACTTAAAAGGTTATCAGGCGTCCCAGTTGCATACTTTGCTGGGTTCTTGTGCGACTTCTACATCAGTTTGCTGCGTGCTTCGGTACGCAGTGGACTCTTTGGCACCACATATCTCACTCTTGAGTATTTGGGATTTGCAATGCCCAAGATCCCATTGCATGCTAGAACATGAAACAATTCAATTGAGAGGTGCCGTGCATGGGCTCACCACAGAGGCAGCCGGGCTCCTAAGTTTATATTTGAAGAGAGGGAAGCGGTGGTAGGCTACAGAGCCCAGACCCACCACAGGCTCTTCAGGCTTGCTTGGTGGCTGACTTGGGTCAGACATTTATAGAACGTTTATTCAGTTTCATTCCTGACTGTAGTAATCTTTCAAAAATAGTATTATTTTCCATCTCTCCCAGCAGTAGATGAAGCATATTACCCTGGATTCCACAAAGACACTTACAATAAGCCACACTTTATAGCTGTTATTTATTGGTACCCTGCTATTTATTCTGAGTATATTTATCCTAAATAGGGTTTCTCATTATACTTCATGTTTAGGGCCCTACCAAATTCATGGTCATGAAAAAAGCGTCACGGAGTGTGAAATCTGGCCTTTTGTGTGCTTTTACCCTAAACTATACAGATTTCACGGGGGAGACCAGCGTTTCTCAAATTGGGAGTCCTGAGCCAAAAGGGAGTTGCGGGGGAATCACAAGGTTATTTAAGGGGTTTGCGGTATTGCCACCACCAGTGCCCAGTTCTGAAAGCAGCGCCCCGCCAGCAGCAGCGCAGAAGTAAGGGTGGCAATACCATACTCATGCCACCCTTATTTCTGCACTGCTGCCTTCAGAGCTGGGCAGCTGGAGAGTGGCAGCTGCTGACTGAGGGCCCAGCTCTGCAGTGCAGAAGTAAGGTTGGCAATACCATACCATGCCATCCTTACTTCCATGCTGCTGCTGCTGTACTGGTGGCAGCTCTGCCTTCAGAGCTAGGCTCCCGGCCAGCAGCCGCTGCTCTCCAGCTGCCCAGCTCTGAAGGCAGAAGTGCAGAAATAAGGGTGGCATGATATGGTATTGC